CCCAAGGGGTCCATGTACCCAACAAATGGGGCTGTCGGTCCAAAATGCAAGGGTTCCAACTTGTTGTACATGATAGCCTGACATTTGGATGCATGGACCCTTAAGACAACACAACAACGAGCAACAACCCTATTTTCAAAAATGAACTCCAGCCCTTCAGAATACACGCCATGATGCACTGCTGGCACCAAACCACTGAGTCCGGAAGTCCGCACTCACCTGGAACCAGACTTACCAAGGATAGCGTTTAAGGCGTAGGGTTTAGGTTTTTGGGGGAGAGGTTTAGCGTTTCTGGTATAGGGTTAGGGTTCGGGTGCTTCAGAAATATGATGGGGATTCGGTCCCAACTCAGCAGGAGTATGGGGGCGGTGGCAGCGCACGCAAGGCAAGGAGCTGGCCCTTGCTGAGTTGCTGTTAAGGCACTTTAAATGGCTTACCAGTATGGGGAAGCCAAATTGCTTGCTATATATCCACCTTAGCCTTGGGATCTAAAAGACCCAAAGCAGGTACATGTCTAGACTTTAGACCTGAAAGTCAGCATTGCTCATGTACTTGGCTGTCCTGGGTCAAACCCAAATCCCTAAAGCTTGATGTCAGATGTCCCACAGTGAGCATCATAAACTTTGCTAACGAAACTCAACAGGGCCCTCCAACATCAGACTCGCTAGGCTCGCGAGTTGCCTTTACCTAGGTCTGAATGACGTCTCCAAAGCGGGGACAGTGTAGGGACATGTGTTCCAAACGGGAACCCAGGTCCGTGATTTGGATCTGCCAAAGACCCAAAATAACCCTAAACGCTATACCCCTTAGACGATGGGTAGCGGAACCAGCACCAGGGAGTGGGGCTGCTGGGGACACGTATTCAGCTGAGACTCCAGAGCTTTGACAAAATAGAGCGCTTCTTAATGTCCTTGCACTACAGTAGTGATTCCTTCGAAAGCCGAAAAGAAGCATCGCACTTGGGTCCAAACTCCTGGAAATATGCAGCCCCAAAGATCTATATACGAACAACAACGTTTCAACGAGTCACTGCACTTCATCTTCACGAAGCCACGGAAGTCCCACAGGAACTCGTTGGCGATAACATCGCCGAGATGCTCCCTGAACCTGGTGGTTAAGGGTTTAGGATTTAG